GCTGCTGGGGCAGGATTATTCCCGCCAGGGCGAGCCCGCTAGAGCGGAAATTTCCCCGCTAGATCGGGACAGGGTGATGAGTCCAAAAATTGGACTAATTTAGGGCTATATTTTCATAGAATTAGTGTCCTCAAATGCATATTTTATCTCAATATCTGATGAAAACCCTTAAGTTTCAGGTATTTGAAGTTTGAGGGAAAGCATAAACACTATTTAGCAAAAAGGAACAAAAGTAGCTGAAGGATCGAAGAAATGAAGATCTGAGAATCGCCAAACCCATTCGGTGAGTCACCAAGAGGTCTTATCATCGCCTTTTGTTCCAGTGTGCTGAGCCCTGAAGGAAATGATCAAATCGGCGGTGAACAGGAGCAGTCGACGTATCGTCGAGCAGTTCTGCGAAGCTGTATTATGTCGCCCAATGATCCAAACACGACGATGCTGAAGGATAGAGCAATATGGCGATGAAACCTACCAAAGGGCGGATCGCCGAGTTGATCGGTGATCTCGACTAATGACGCCGAATGATCCGTTGCAGCACAGAATTTTGAAAACTATAAATACTTGTTGAGAATTATTATTTTATATCAAATATTTAGCTTTGAACAATAATTTTTTTAGACTTTGCTTCTATTTTTGAGTTCTAAGTTTGGAGAGGGTTTTGAAGTACCTTGAAGATCAAAGGGTTTCAACTCCAAGAAATTGGACTTGGGTCTTATGGATTCTTCAATCTTGGCTTATTTTGGGACTTAAATCTTCATACCCATTTGAATGCAAACTCATTTTGGTATAAATTTCTATCTCTTTTACATGTCTAGCTAAAACTCCAATTCTTGGGGTGTGATTTTGTGAATATGGGTTAGATTATCAGTTGGGTATTTCTTGTTGATGATTTATTTGTTGTTTAGATGTGATTTCGTGTAGTAATTGTGGTGGAACTTAATGAAATTGTAGTTGCAAATACGATTTCACCTTTGTGTTTTCGGCTTGCTCGAGAGAGAGGTCGTAAAACTAAGACTACTAAATTGATGGCCGGTGGGATTGGGTCGATATGAGGTTCAGCTCGAGAGAGTGAACCCTAGTCTCATTCCCACACACTCAGCTCGAGAGAGTGAGTGGGCTAAGGCGGAGAGCTCTCTTCATGCGGCAAGTGGGTGTTCGAGAGGAACCCATTTGATTCGGGGTAAGTTGCTCGAGAGAGAACTTATCCCCTATATAGTCTAGCCTAGTCACAAATATTCAACAGATTTATTGTCAAAAGCATGTGCCCAATTGTTTAGTTTTTCCCGTATTCCTATCACATCCCAAGAACCCCATCTCCTTGATTAATACTCTTTGTATTTTTGATGTTTCTACTTACTTGTGACAAAACCCCCATTGTTAATTGACACTTGTGTCACCCCTTAGATTTAACATGTTTGCATTCGATAATGTCTTTAGCTATGACTAATTAGAACTAAATTTTATTTTTCTATTAATTCTCAAAACCACTCCCTTGGGACTCAACCCCAACCCTTGGTTGGGTTACTTTACTATTGTACGATCATAGACACTTGCATTGAAAGTTATGTCTTGATTACGCAAACATCACAGGGCGAGACAGAATCTCAGCTCTACCTCCCCTGATTTTCCCTAGTTTGCCTATAGACCTCGAACCGTGCATAGACTAAGTTCCGCAATCCGGTCAGTGCTCAGCAATAAGAACAGTAAGTTATACCACCTAACATTTAAATATTGGCTATGAAAATAGCAAAAACCAGCATAAAAATGTAAGGAAATCAAAAGAGAAAATGAAATATTGTTCATTACATGCCCAAGAGGGGATTAAATTTTTTAAGAAATTCACTTTTTTAATTGAGCTCAAAATTTAATTAATTCAATATTTCTTCTGTTTTCAGTATATAATTCTGAACAGAGGATTAACACTTTCTCTATCTCAGCTTCTGTGATGGTGTTTAACTGAGCATAGAGTTTAAAATGAAAGAAAAACTTATGCCTATATCATCTCATTAAAAATAACATTAGAGTTTAAAGTCAAACGAGTTCTCTCCATTCTATTTTACTTGATCCACGTTGACATATGACACTCCTCTGAGAAAACTATTCATCGAAATTTCTTTTTACTAAATTATCTCTATTAAGTATGCTTTGAAACTTTAAATTTGACTACTATTATTTTTTATAATTACTTAATGATAAGATAAGATTGAAAGAAAATAACTTTTTGACGATTTGTCAGAATGGACAAGTAAAAGAAAAAAAAATTATTTTTGATTTAAAAAAAAAGGTTAAGAAAAATAGAAAAGAAAAAATACATAATATAAAAACATATTAATTGTTTAACTGATTATAAAATAAAAATATCACTTAAATTAAAACAGACACAAATAATAATTAATGAAATAACCAAAATAATTCAAAAGTTCGGTGTCGTCTTGCCTTCATTTGATCATTTCAAATGGGTTCATTGTACGTGGCCTATGAAGAAAACGAAGAACATTATAGTACGTAAAGTATACCATACAATCTAAATCAATTAAAGGTTTGATAATAAATATTTTACTTTTTTTAGAATATTTTTTTTACTTTATTTGAAAATTAATATTTGGTTATGAAAATTTTAAATTTAATTAATAGTTATGTTGTAAATTTGAAAAATAACTTATTTCCAACTCGCTTTTCATTTAATCATATTTAAATATAAATATTCTTTAGAATAAAGTTTAAATAAAATACAATTTGATCTTCAATTTCCAACTATGTAAATTATAATAAAATAAAAAATATTTAAATTCTAAATGAACACCTACTTAGTCATAGATAGTAAAAATTGGAGATTTGGACAACTCATTGGACATTCCTCAGAATTTATGGTCATTCCTTGGACATTTGAAGTAGAAAATAACTAAAGCAAACTAAAAGGATTGGGATTTGGGGCTCTAACTATTTTTGGGAGCCTCATTATATATATATATAAAATTTCACACATAGAATTTGAGGAGGGTACGTAATACGTATATACATTTAAGGAAAATCTTATATATCATTAGATTTGAAGAAAAATTATTGGAGAAAGTACAATAATGTTTTGCCTTTTAGTGAGAGAATTGAGGAAAAAAATTATTTATTTGTACATAATTAACTTTGATATTTATAGTCTAATTATATCCATATAACATGAAAAAAATAAAACATAGTTATTTTTCTTAAATATATATGAATGTTTGCCATATTCTGAAGTTTTTCCAAAAATCTTAAATTACTATAGTGAGGAGTTGAGGAAAATCTTATAATTGTGGTTCGCGTTTTTCTTTAACAAGAAGTTTTCCACGTAAAAGTTTGTGTTAATTTACTTTTAACACTTATCCTCTTACATAATTAATAAAAGAATTTGATTCGTCGCACCAAACTAACATCTTTGATCTCCAATATTATTCCTTTGTTCTTCTTTTTTTTTCTTTGGTTTTACTCTACACAAACTGTAGTTTTTTCAACTGGTTAACTTAAATCATTCCTACTTTATTCTCTCAATGAAGAGAAATGTTATATTTTTTTGTTTTAATTTATTCGTCTGACTTTAACTTAGCATAAAGACTTAGATTAAAAATATATTAAATATATCAAAATGCTTTTTAATTCCGTGATTTAAAATATATCGTGTAAAAAGTTAGAATTCTTTAGTTTTTATTTTACATGACTTGTTTTCAAGGGTGTATATTAATGCTTATTTCCAGAGGTTTAGGCTATCGTCCCCTTCTGCTTGTTCTCTGTATAAATCTTGGATGAAATAAAAGGCTTGCGCCATTGAAGGCGTAAAATTTACATTAAATAATAAAATAATAATAATTAGAAGTTGCTAAAAAGAAAAATAAGTTAGACAAATTAAAACAGAGAGTAATATGCTAAAAGATTCCATGTTAAATACACAACTAAATGTTATGTACATTAAATCTTGATCCAATAATTAATGTAATCTGTTTTGATCGGTTCAATTTTAACTTAATCTGTCCATTTATCACTCCTAACTCACGACCAAATTAGATTTCAGCTAAGTTTAGTGTTGCAAGTGAGCTCCTTAATATTAATATTATAAATTGTATGCCATGGTAAAATATTTGATCTTATACATACAGTGTGAGTTTTCAATAAAAGGAATACAAATGAACATCATCGAGCACCGCACTTATTGGGTAGCGGTCATGACTCGTTCAGAAAACGAGCCTTAGCATCTGCGATGAAAACTTAGTGAGCGTTTGGTCATATTTTATTGTGAAATTTAAAATAAAATAATTTATAGTTTCAAAATGAAAAAATAATATTTGAAAAATTAATTCAACTCCAAAAAAAAAAAAAGTTAAAAAAATCATGACAAATGCCCCTTAATTATGTTAGTTCATATAGAATCAACTCGTTAAATTCCTTTTGAGCTGTAAACTTAATAAGTTCAGTTGAAATTATTGAAGTGCATAAGTCAAAAATCGTGTCAACTTTAGATATATGTCAATGATTCCGCCTTAATTTAATTACTAATAATACCTAATTATATTCGTAATGAACTAAAATGACTAATCCTTCATTCATACTAAAAACATGATATGCATGTATATAGTGGCCCATGTTTTTTTTACTAGCATCTCAATTCTAAGTTTAAAAAATCATGACAAATGCCCCTTAATTATGTTAGTTCATGTAGAATCAACTCGTTAAATTCCTTTTGAGTTGTAAACTTAATAAGTTCAGTTGAAATCATTGAAGTGCCTAAGTCAAAAATCGTGTCAACTTTAGATATATGTCGATGATTTCGCCTTAATTTAATTACTAATAATACCTAATTATATTCGTAATGAAGTAAAATGACTAATCCTTCATTCATACTAAAAACATGATATGCATGTTTATAGAGGCCCATGTTTTTTTTACTAGCATCTCAATTCTCAGAGCTAATAATGTCTATATAAAGGCTACAACTTCTGAATATTTTTTCACCATCAAACATTCTTCTTACAATTCATTGATATATCAAAGAAGAAATATGGGTTTCAAAGGCAAGTTGGTTGCTTCGATGGAGATTAAGTGTGGAGGACACTTGTTTCATGATCTTTATCAAATTAACGCTCATCATGTATCTAACATAAGTCCCAATAAAGTCCACAATTTTAATATTCACGAAGGTGATCAAGATCTAAAAGTTGGTTCAGTAATTGGCTGGAAATATAATCATGGTAAAATTCCCAAGACAATATTTTTCTCGATTATTTAAGATTATTTTTTTTACTTTTTTTTGAGTTAAAGAGAATTCTTGGAGCAATAATAAATTTGTTTTTGTCTGACTTATAGCCTACAGGTCATGGATTTGATCCTTAAAAGCAACCACTACTATTCGTCTATTCGTATTGGGACAAACGGTCTACGTAGTACCCCTTGGTCAAGCTTTATTATTTGTTTGGCCAAGCTTTTAGGAAATAAAAATGCTTCTATTTTTTTCTTTTCAAAAAGAAAATATTTTAGAATAGTGAGGATTAAGATAACAGATTAGTCGATAACTTTAAGTGTAGATTTACTTTCTTGTGGGAGAGGCAGCTTTTAGAAAATAAAAAATGTTTTTCTCTTTTCTTTTCAAAAAGTAATTATTCTTTTAGAATATTAAAAATAATTAGAATAGAAAGTTAATTTGTAATTTTAAGTGTTGATTTACTTTCCTGTGGGAGAGGCATAATGATAGTTTAGAATACCTTAGCTGCACCTAAGGCCGTCTTAATCCCTAGGCCACTAAAGCCATCGCTTGGGACCCCATATTTTTTGGGGGCCCATCTTTAAAAATATTACTTATAAATGTTTTTTTTAAAAATAAAATAAAATTATATGTATTATGAGCTAGTGATATGATTTATACTCAGGAAATTGCATATAAACAAATATAGAATCTAAATTTAGTAAGAAACAATTCGTCGAAAATATTGATAACGAAATCACAATATATATATGTAGCAAATGAAGCTATTTTTTCACTTCAAAATAGATTTGAACCAATTGAAGCATATGAAAATATTTTTGGTTTCTTATTTAGTGGTAAATTGAGATCACTAGATGATGAGAATTTTTTGAAAAACATTGTCTTAACCTTGAACTTTCTTAACACATAATAATTATTCTGCTATTGATGGTTTAGATTTATTTTTTCAGTTAAAAGTGTTAAGAGGAATAATACAAGTAGAAGATAATGATCTAATAAAAATACTCGATCAAATTATAAACTTGATTCTTTTCCAAATATACATATTGCTTATAGAATAATGTTAATAGTTCCTTTAACCTTGCCTCGGCCGAAAGAAGTTTTTCGAAACTAAAGTTGATTAAATATTATTTAAGATAAACAATTTATCAAGAGAAATTGAATGGATTAGCTATATTATCAATTGAAAAGGAATTAATTAAAACAAATCGATTATAGAACAGTAACTAATGATTTTGCATCTAAAATGATAGAAAAGTACACTTCAAATAAAAGTATATATGATGAAAAAAATGAAATATTAAGGCCCCACCCTTAAGTTTCGCTTTAGGCTCCCAATCTTTTTGAGTCTGCCCTGCCTGCACCTTCTTTTCATAATAGTATTATCATTTTATTCTTAGATTTTTATTATTACATGTTATTTTTTTCTTTGCTATAGCTATATTGTATTGTCTTTTATTATTTAAAATAAAAATGGGTGTCCGAAAAAAAAACTAAATAAAAATGGGTGTCCGAAAAAAAAACTAAAATAAATGTCAGAAGTGGGGATTTTTTTTTTACCCTCCCTAGGAGCTCCCACCCCTCTTTGCTCCCTTGGTGACTCGAACTTGCAACCTTCGGGTTGTAAGTGAGGGGTGCTTACCATCCGAGCAACTCCCTCTCGTCTCAGAAGTGGGATTTGAACCCATGGGTGTCCAAAACAAAAAACTAAATAAAAATGGGTGTCCGAAAAAAAAACTAAAATAAAATGTCAGAAGTGGGATTTGAACCCACGCCCTCTTACGAAGACCAGAACTTGAGTCTGGCGCCTTAGACCACTCGGCCATCCTGACTTGACTTCTAGATTTCACTCGAATTAATATTTTCTTTATAAAATCACAGGATAAATAGGATCCACATTAAAATTCTTTTTAAGCTGATTAAACAGACACAATTACTTTTAAAAAATACTTTTGTAAAATACTAATTGAAAAAATGCACTTTTCATATTAAGCAATTTTTAAAATTTAGGCAATTAGTAATATGGTTTATCCTTGAATACTTTTGACAAAAAAAAACAATTTTTAAAATAAGCGAAACACATGATTATTTGTCAACCTAACATTAACATATCTGTTGAGATTTATAAAGATAAATACAATTCTGAAAAAAGTTGAGCAAATCTTTGTGAGCTTGAGATAATTTGCAAAAAGGAAAAGTTATCTTGTTCTTTAAAAAAAATAAAATTGAATCAATTAAATAATATCATATAAATTGAGACGGAAGAAATGTCTTTTAGACAATTGAGATATATAGGATTAACACATTTCTATTTTCGTAACTCTTTTTTAAATGATTACAGATGGAAAAGTTAAGGTTACTAAGCAACTGATTGAAGCCGTTGACGATGAGAAAAAAACAATTACTTGGAAAGTGTTAGAGGGAGATACGTTGGAATTGTACAATTCCTTCGCTATTACTGCATCCTTTGAAGATAATTGGGCAATGTGGACACTAGTGTACGAGAAGAAAAGTGAAGACACACCAGAACCTATTACTCTCTTGAGTCTTATGATCGATATCACTAGAGATTTGGAAAGTCATCTCCACAATAATTAAAGGATCATCGAAGTTCGAAAATCTCATCTGAAATACCTTGATGCATCGTTCTGATTATGATATATCTATTTACTTTGTCTGTGTGATGAATAATAAAAATTATTGGTTTGTCTAATTTGTGAAATAAATAGTATTGTATGGAAGTATTTCTAATTATAATTAGGTCAAGATTTTATGTACTGATGCAAGTTTCAAATTTACCTATAGAGTGCCAAAATGTATCCATGTGTCATGTGTGTTTGTACTCATTCCCGTTTATAATATTAAATATAATAATAATAAATTGTAATTAGCTATTTGTCTTCCTGAAACATTATTATAATTAATTAGCTATCAATATACACCCCCTCTAATTGATGTACTTAATCTTGATTTGTATTTGAATTCAAGGGTTTTTGAGCTTATACATGAATATGGTGGTCTTGATCTTGAATGCTTGAATTCGTAAACTTGTAGAGAAATCTGCGACTCTGGATCCACGAGCTTTCTCTGGCTTCTTGTTAATTAGAATTATGGTGTTTTTTTCTGAATTATCAGGACCCCTATTTATAGTTGTAGGATGGTGGAGTTATGATGAGAACATGCTTCCGTTTGGCCAATCAGATTTAAGTATATGATACATAACTTATGTATCGTTTGTTATGTATCAGGTGAAGGAGCATTGTATCTGCGAATTCTGAAAATCGGGGATTATGGTAATTTAAAAAACTTTTAGGATAGAACGTAATTAGCACCCAAATTGTTGAGGTTTCTTTACTATATACTTAATTAAATCCATATTTATTAGGCTTAAATAATTAATCTATTATATTAATCCATAACATTTATTTAAATTAATATATCTTGAATTTAATAAACTAATAAATTAATTAACATTCGATAAGTGAACACAACATAATAACTACTTCCAATACTATCAAACTTCTTTTTCATATTTATTTAGGCCTTTAGGGTAAGCTATAAAGAGGAGAATGCAACGTTAAAGATGAACCAATTTAATGTTGATGGTATATATTATTTATATATAAGCTTCATGATATATATTTTATATATTATTTTATTTTATATAAGCTTTAAAAAGGACATTGATCTTAATTACTTGAAGGTGGCAATTTTGTCACCTCACAAAGAGGACTCCCTAATAATAACGAAATGAAGAAGTGGATATTTTTTATTTTAATTAAATATAAGCTTCATGATATATATTTAATATATTATTTTATTTTATAAAAGCTTTAAAAAGGACATTGATCTTAATTACTTGAAGGTGGTAATTTTGTCACCTCACAAAGAGGACCCTCCCTATTAATAACGATATGAAGAAAATAGATATAATTAATTTCTTTTCCTAGTACTTCCTATGTCCCATTATTTATTGTTTTAGCTTTTTTCATGCTAATTAATAAAATAAGAAATATTAATTATAATTTATTGAATTTTTCCTACTTAATAAAGGTAGTCTCATTTTTTTCTCTTAAATATTATGCATACCTTTTTAATTGTTAAAATTCTAGTTGAAAATGAGTAATTTTCAATTTTTAATATTAAAATTTTTAAGCGATAATCATTTTAAGAATTTTATTTTGAATTAAAATGAAAATTAAATTGGAACAGATGGAGTATCTACTTAGCCATGTTGGCCCATTGTGTGAGAGGGAGGATTGTGAATGAAGATATCACATTTTAGCTCAAATTGCCTTTCGGAATTATTTGAAGGAAATTTATATGATATGTGATATATATTTACTATATATTATCCATATATATTCTTTAAAATAATTTTTTATAACTACATTTCACTTTCTAGTATCTATCTTTTCTTTCTCTTTCAATTTCACTAGCCTCTCTCCTCCCTCTTTCGCTGCCACTTAGAGATAGGATTTTGAAACGTAAGGAGTATAAAATTCAAGAAAATAAAGATATGTGTGTGGACAAATAGTGTACTCTTTTTTAAAAAAAAAAAAAAAGAAAAGAAAAATGATAGAATATAAGCTGAGAATATAAAATATTTACGTATATAATATTACTATTACTTCCTATGTCCTCTTTTAATTGTCTTGTGCTTTACGGAAGTGAATTTGACTAATTTTCAAAGTTAAATTAGATTACATTAATTTGATATTTTAAACAAAAAATTATATATTCAAAACCTATACGAAAAGTACTATTACTTCAATTTTTTTGTATATCAATATGATGAAAAAATACATCGTAAAATGTTAATCAAAGTTATTATCGTTTGACTCTAAAAAAAAACTATGATAACTAAAAGTGGACGGAGATAGTATTTCTTTTAACATTATTTTCTCATGAAAATTGTGTATATATGGGTCCCACTAATTTATTAATGAATAACCTATGCATATTCATATCTTACGATAATTGATTCATGCCATGTGTCAACTCAAGCCACCTATACGCGAGGGACGTCGATCGACATTGTTTTGATGAAAAGTTACACTAGATAATTAGATAAAAAATAATAATTTATACATATATATTATATTGACACTTTTTAATTTCTACGCAATTTTATTTCTTTATTTTGAATTGAAATTTAAGCTCTATCAATCTACCGTATTATTCATGCCATGTGTCTGACCTTTTATTTATAATTAATTGAATAGAGAAAAATCAGATAAGTTGCCCCGCAAGGAAATTTACTAATACAATAATTTATAATTCATTTATAAATATTGTATTCAATCAAACATTGTTAAATAAATTGAGATGTAGACATACAATACCTATGTCCCTATGAGTGGTCCAATTGGAATAATGGGTATTTTGCCAAGGAATGTACAATGAGTTGTCCACACAATCGAGAGTCTAAAGCTAAATTTTAAAAAGAGATTTTAATTTATTTTTGAAAAAACTGATCATCATGTAAAATATTATTGAAATTTTAGTGTTTTAGATGTGAACATTATTTTTTTTATAAGGATTTGTTATAACAATTTCATTTTGAAGAAAGATTATTGTCATATTTATAGGTTATAAAGTAAGAATATTAATAATATAATTTTTAATAAAAAAATTAATATAAATTTAGATTGTTCGAAATTTTGATAAGTTGATACAATAATATCAAAATAATGTTGCATTACTTCAATATAATGAAGACTTGTTGCAATACTCAAAATCTTAAAGAGGACACCAGAAAAAAATTGATCTTTTATAAACAGATAGCATTAGATTTTGCAAAATTCAGAAAGTTTGGCCATTTGACAGATTTCAAAATATTTAATAAATATAAGAGAATAAGAATAGTGAAAGAGAAAATGAATATAAATAATAACATATGCACATAAAAAAAATACCGCAATTACTTAAAATTATTTTTTATATATATATTTAATATAATAAATAAATATTAAATAGGAAAGTAATTATTGAATGCCTAATTAATTATGGCAGACACATTTGTGATCTTTTCCCATGTTTACCATCATCAAATTTTTCTCTTTCATCAATATTCATACATCACATACTTTTTGATTTTTTTCTCCCAAATTCATTCAAATTCAAGATCCATTACATCACTGCAGGAGCGATTTTTGTGATTTTGTATCCATCAGATATCTTCTAATTGCATATTTATCTCATTTTTATGAACATTATATATCTACATATCTACACTTTCTTCTATTTTCATAGGGTTTTGATTCAAGAATTTGTTTATCCATTTCAATGGCTGAAATTGATACTCCGAGGAGGGTTACGAGAGATATACATTTATTTGACAAATTGTTGGATGAACTACCTTCTTTTGATTTGTGTATTACTCAACAACAAGTCAAAATTTCAGGCTCTATTGCTGCAATGGAGAATGAAAGAAGAACAAAAAAGGTTAATGACCATATACCCTTAAATCTACTTGAAGAAATTGAACATGCAAAATTAGTAAAAAGGAAAAAAGGTTCAAAAGTGAAAACTAATCTTGTGATTCAAGTGGGTGTGAAAAAAGAGCAGTCGAGCAGGAACAAGAGGAAAATGAAATTGAGATTTGTATGCTTTATTTTTTTAGTTTAATGTCATTTACTTATATATCTCAACACATGTATTGTGTGCCATTGTCATTATATTATGGATTGTCCTCTTGTATTGAAATTGTTAGAAAATTTGATTTCGTATGTATATAGTTGTTAAAAAATGAGTACAAGAAGAGCATGATCAAAAAAGAGATTAAGGGTTCTTTGATTGTCAATTTTGTATATAGTAGAATACTTATATACATAGACATTTGTATTATTATATAACCACGAGTTGAATTGTTGATATGTGAATACAATTATATTTGAATATAAGTACTCTGTCAAATTTAAAAAGTTGATTAGGGAATTCAAGTATAGTTGGATACATCAATACAATATTGTTGGCCTTTTTCAAAAATTTTTATTTACAAGTAATATTTATACAGTTTGATACCCACAAATTGTATATTTTTTTGCTCATGTGTCTAATGTATCCATACTTATACAGTTTTATACCCACAAATTGTATCTTTTTTGCTCGTTTGTCTAATGTATCCATATTTTTTCTTAACAATAGTGTTGAAATGTATCCATATTTATATACATAGATACTTGTATTGTTATATAAGCACAAGTTGAAATGTTGATTTGCGAATACAATTATATCTAGATAGATAAGTACTATATCCAAGATAAAAAAAAATGATTAGGGAATACAAGTATAGTTGTATATATTTAGAGTCAATTCCTTATTTAGTTTGTTGTACTTAAAGATGTATTAATGTATATATAAAATAAAAATAAAACTATACAAAAATACAGCGAAAAAGTGATATAAATTAGTAGTCATTTATTGTAAATAGCATACTTATAGCTATTGGTATTCATTAACCCTATAAATATAGTTATTTTTGTAAGTTGCTCGTTTTTTTTGGTACACCTATGAAATTGTCTCCTACAATCTTCCCCATTGGGTCATTATTTTTCTTTTTAGTTTAATTCGATTAATGAAAATTTTGAAATAAGAGACCTCAAAAGATTTCTTATTTTTAATAAAATCACTTGTAGGTCATTATTTTTCTTCACATAGGCCGCAACCCTCTCTCACTCATCAGTCTTCCACCATCACCACCCTCGTCATCAGCTATTGGCACCGCCCCTGGCTCTACCTCCGGCAATCCGCAACAAGCCAATTTAAGGTGGTTATTTTGCTCTAATTTTTTTTTACCTAATTTAAATTAAAGTAAGCT